TGTCATGTAGATGATCCTGTCGATTACATGATGATGTTTAACCAATATTCATCAACAGACTCGACAATGTTGCAGCCTCATCACTCTGATCAATTGGACAGTTACATGTTTGGTGGCTCTACTGCTTGTTATTCTAACAACAGTAGCAGCGAGCTGCCTCCTCTTCCGAGCGACTTGTCGAATTCGTGTTACGGCTACGACTACTCCTCATCAGCTACCTATTTCGAGTCTGACTATGTTCATAGTCCAATGTTCAGTAGAATGCCTCCGGTTTCTGACTCTTTGCCTCATGGTTTCAACCACTTTGGCTCTTAAATCATTCATCATCATTTTATTTATTATCCTTTCTCATTTGTACCTTTTTATTTCTTTCTTTGGATTTCTCTATGTTTCGCCGTCCTTGATCTCTGTTTATGATCAAAGTGACTGTCTTGCTAGCTTTTCAATAACAAGTTATATGATATCCCTTTGTATCTCTTAACACGTACACATTTGATATGGGCCTAGACCTCAAAGTCCCATTCATGAAGCCAAGGTACATGATGAGCAATGGGTTTCATTAAACGATTAAATGGGACATTTTTCAATATCCAACAATTAAAAATTCCCATGTTAGCCAATACTAGTGTGTGTAGGTAACTCCATGCTTGTGTTTGGATAATTAAAGATTGAAAAATTATCCAAATTATTCATAACTTCATTAAATTACTAAAACATATCCAATTTTTTTGTATTATTCAAAATTACTCGACTCTTATAATCATTTGGATAATAATTTTAATTATCCGAAAGTCTTTGTTTGCATAACCCGACCGTATCACTATTATTATCCGACCATTTATCCGCAATGAACATGCTTAAGTCGTGTGATGGTAGAACTATAATCATAGGATGGAATGTAAATAACAATTTGGTGTATAAATAATGCTTATGTAATGTGAATGTTTTTCATAATTGATGGGCACTATTGTCGATGGTCAAAAGATGGTAGTAGGTTTGACTGGTGAACCATGTCTACCGGTCTCAAAAGCTGGTTACCAAACACATAAACACCAAAAAACAAGTACATAAGTGGTTCATAAACATCCAGAAATAGGAAATTAATTAAGGTGAAGATGGAGATGAAGTTTTTCTCTCTTTATGCCATTGTAGCTGCACTTCTAGTTGTAGCCAACTCCGGGATGATGCGGACAAGTGCACAAAGCGTTTCATGCCTAAACCAGCTTGCTCCATGCTTAATTTACCTCAATGGAACCAAGGATGTTCCACAAGTTTGTTGTAACCCTCTCAAATCACTGATCAAGAACAATCCAGAGTGCTTGTGTCGTATGATAAGTAACCGAGGGAGTTCTCAGGCCGAACAAGCCGGCATCGATGTAAACGATGCTCAAATGTTGCCTGCGCGATGTGGAGAACACGTCAATCCTCTTGCCTGCTTAACTCGTACACTCTCTTTTCTTACTTGATCTCTTTCCTTTTTTTTTTCAACTAAAACATGTTTTTGATTCAATATTCTTCTGTGTAGGATCTCGAGGATCGTCAAATTCAGATCGAAGTTCCTCCATTGGCAACTCCTTTTCTCAATCTTATTGGATGACAACATTAGCTTTTGGAGTCACCGTTACGTCATATTTTCTTCAAATGAACCGAATCTCTCCATTGTCTATATAGCATTCATTTTATTTGTTTGAATGCTTATGAGTTATGATTATTGGTCTTCATAAACACATTGTATACCATTTTATTCCACATAAATAGTATAATTCCATTTCTTATACCGTGCTCATTTTGCAACAAATCGAACCACCCTATCAATCTCTTCATGAAAATTACAATTTAAATACCAACTAAAGAAAAAGAAAAAAAAAATACCAACTAAAGGAAAATTCCATAATTTCTTCAACGTAATCAACGCGATTGAAAAATTAATTTGTAAACGCACAAATTGAAAAAGTTGGGGGAAAAATTGATCATTTTTCCGTCAAAATTAAAGTGAGAGACTCTTTTTGGAAATAAATTTGGTTACCAACTTACCAAAAATCAAATAGAGTAGTTGCATTCTACTAGATCGAATAGCAAACCCGGTTTAAATGGTATTATTTCCCCAATAACCGGAAAAACTAAGCTGGTTTAACAAGTGTACCCGGTCACTTGAAGGAATAGTTGACCAGATCGTCTTCCTCTATTTCTCTCTTACACGGATCGGAGAAATTTCTCTCTGCCCACAAATCCGACCAACACTAAAACCCTCCGTGTTAATCGATCATCGGAAAAATCTCCGATCTAGCTAAAAAATGGGAGGGATGATGTACAAGCTCTTCGCTTCGGCGTCGCTGCTAACCCTAGGATTGTATCATCTCATCTGCACTTTCTTCCATGTTCTCAAGTCTCCTCAATCCTACGCCGCGAAGCCCTTCTACGCACTTCCGCGATTCTCCACCGTCTCCGGTAATAACAACAACCACAACCACCGTCTCCAAAACCTACCTTTGATCATCCTCTCACTCTCCCTTTTCGTCGCTTTCCTTCACCAAACCCTAATCTCTTTCTACTCCGATCCACTCGTCAAAGGAAGTACTCCAGTACACAAATTCTCCTCTCTCAATTCCGCCGCCG